TTCACTTCCACTACTTAAATATTTGCAATATCTAATTCCTTCTTGAGTATTTCTTTCTTGTCCAAATATTATTTTAACTCTTTCTCTTTCAATTAAATTACAGCTTCCAACATTTTTGCATCATCATCCAATTTTCTAAATTAATCATTCAAGATATCTAAATCCTTCAATTTCTACTGTATTTAGAAATTCATCTCCTCTTCTTTAACCTTAGTTTGATATATTTCTTGATTGATTTCTGTCAATTGTTCCTATTCTTTCTTGATCTCTTCAGACAACTTGGATCTCTACTTCTCAAATTCTTAGATCTACTCCTACTTCTCTCTGATCTCTGCTTGAATAGTATAATATTGCTATTTAAATTTCATCAATTCCTCCTTTTACTGATTAAAATTTCTTAGTTCCTCATCCTTATTTCTCAGCATCTCTTCCAAATTAATTAAATCCATTTCAGCCTTTGCTAAATCATCCTCAAATTTACTCCTCTATTCTGACCTTATTTAAAACTCTCTTTCCAATTTGCTTAGCTTCTCATCTTATTCAGATATCCTCTTTTTTATTTCCTCCTCTTCTCTCTCGTAAAATTTCAATTCATCTTCCAATTAATTGAATTTCTACTTCTAATCATTAACCTTCTATTATTTCTAATAAACTAATCCTGCATACTATTACACTTACTCTTCCTTCTCAAATACATCCTTCATCAATCTTTCCATATCCTTATCCAATTTAGCAATCTAATCTAATTGATATAGATGTTTCATTTGTTAATCTGTCAATTTATTCAGATTGTTCTTCTAATCTTCAATCTCTGTTTGAATCTTCTGAATCTACTCTTGTCGTTGTTCTTTTTCTCTGTTCTGCTTTTCTAGAATCTAAATCTAACTTTGAATCGCTTGTTTGTTGCGATCCAACTCTTATTAAATTCTATCAGCCTTATCCTATATCGCATTTTTTAAGGTATTTTCTTATTTAATATTGTCTTCCAACTTGATCCTTAAAGCCTACAATTCAACTAGTTATTTTTCTTAATTCTCTGTGAACAATTTAAGGTAATTGACCTCCTGTGTCACTTGATTCTTTTAATCTTGTACCTTTTGCTATTATTTCTAAAGCTCAGATAGGTCCTCTACACTCTAATCGTATTATTGCTTAGCTTGTAAATATAACTTTTAGATCTCATCTTTCTAAGGCACTATCAACAAAACCTGTTCCTTTTGAATTTGCAATTCCTCTATAAGCTACTCTATTAATTACTTTTCCTCTGAAATCTAATGAGTTAGGTCTTCTATCTTCCTATTGATATTTGCACTATCTAGATTCATCTCAGTGTAGATCTTAATTTCTTATTCAATCAAGGCATTCTTTTACTTATACTAATTCTATTGATCCAACAATTGCTATTCCAATACCTTTGCTTACTCAATATCATCTTTTAATAACATTATGTTTTAATCTAATTGGGAACTCTCAATGCTCAACTCTGATATTTGTTATTCCTTTGTTTACTTCACTTATTTGGCTGACTCAGCCTCTTAAAATAACCTAGCTAGTTCAGGCTGTAATCTTTTGCCTTCTGCCACCAAATCATTCACTTACTATTCAAGTAATCCAACCTTCTCTGCCAAGGGCATTTACTCTCTCAGTAAGTGATCTCTCTTCTACTTCTATTTTCTAGTCAGGATGGACAATTAATAGTTCTCCTATGATATTCGTTATAACTCTTCTTGTTTCTCCTTAACTACTATTTATAAGTCCAAAATCAAGGATTCTAAGTTCTTAATTTGCTCCTTCACTTTTTATTATCCTTTTTGAAGTTCATTAAACCTTTTAGATGATTCCATATTCTAATTCAACCAATTAGGAACATTCTATTACGATTTGTTGACATCTTCAATTAAATTAATTTGTTAGTTCTATAAATCATTAACCATTTATTCGATATCTTTATTTTGTGATTTCATTTTTTCGACTTATTCCTACTTGATTTGTTGTTCAGTCTATAAATCTTAGAGTACATCAGTTGATGATTAGATAAACAATTTTAGTTATTCAATTTGAGATTACTTTTCTTTCTTTTGTTTTAATAAGAATTCCAATTCAATATCATCTTAACTTAATTACCTGACTGACTCTGTTATCTAAGCAATTTAAATGGTCAATTCTGATAAATTTGAATTATGATCTTAGATGATATCCTGATCCTCATGGAATACTGGCAATCTCTAAGGCATCGACCTTTAATGCTATGACAATCTTTATTCTAATTCATACTATTATTGCTGTTTTTGAATCAACCTAGACTCCATTTATTGGATCTTCTCATCCAGCTCCAAATTCTTCTTAACCATCTCATCTGATTTTAGTTATCTTAATTGAACCTCTTCCTCCATCATATTTTAAATGATCTTTTAGACTTCTTCCTATTTGTTCTTCTTCTCTTACAACTTGTACTCTAATTCATGTATCACATCCTCCAGAGCTAAGTTTTATTTAACTAAATTATCTGCCTACTCCTACAACACATTGATTTATCTATTAATAACAGACACGTCCTGGGTTGCCAATATCTATTGATTGAAATTACTTCTTTTCAAATCATTTAATTATTGTTTAAGCTATTCAATAATCTTATCCTTTTCTTGCAATTCATACTTCTAACATTCTACTCTGCTCTTTAAATGCTCCAAACTACTGTTGAATCCAGCTATAATTTATTATTATTAAACAAATTAATGATCTTAATCTTGATCGTATGAGTTGATTCCACTATCCCTAATGATGCTTTCTCTATCTTTATAGAATGAGTTGTTATTATGATTAGATTCAATTTCGAAGTTCTTTGATGAATTCAAATACTCTAATTCCTTTAATTTCGATTCCTTCTCCACCAACCTTACCTCTAACGAATGAATCAACTCATCCATTGACAAATTCTTTTTAACCAATTCATCTGCCTTCTCACATTAATCTTCGTTTGTCTTCATCAATGCTTAATATCTTAATTCAACTTCCCTTGATTGTAATTCTTATTCCTTATCGTATAATTATTTTTACAATTTAGATATTTCTTCATATAACAAAACAATATTCATATTCTTCTCATGTAATTATTCTTACAAATCCATCAGCTCTGTATTTTGAACAAAAGATTTCCTCTTAGGTTTCTGATCCTCATTCACAATAGATTCCAATTGATCCTTCCTCTTAATTTTATAACTCAATTGTTTCTTTAACTCTTGTATCCTGTTTTCTACTTCCATATTCTATTGATTCAAGTCTTGCAAGTATGTGTGTTGTGACATATTCATAATTTCATCCTTCTATTGAATTTCAAACTTCAAGAACTCAATCTAAGACTCCTACTATTTTATTGTCTCCTTCAATGAATCAATTTAAAACTAGTAGTCCTGAGGGATTGATTCTGTTTAAGGACCGAAGATATTGATTGTGGGCACTTCCTGAATGTATGAAGTTACTGTGGGTTGTATAATTAATTGTCTTGATTGCACACTCTAAATTTGCTATTCAACTGAAACCTTGACCTCTATCTCCTCTTGCAGTTTGTTCTGTAAATTAAACACCTCCTATTCTTCCATATCCAATTAATCTCTTAACTCTTTAATTTCTTATTGTTTTTATTTCAATTGCTATTGAATTATTTCGCATTCATGCTATTCTATTTCTAATTAGGAGATTAACTCCTTTTTGGGAGACAGACTTTGAGGTCTGAGAGATGTGGAAGAGTTCTGGTCATTTTCAAATAGATTCTGCTTGCTTAATTAATCCATCAACTGATTGTGAGCCTATTGTTTTTCAAGCAATTTGGATTACAATTCATTCATCAAGTCATCCACAGCTTAATTCTATTTCACCAAGTCATCTATTGCTATCAATTTTTCAGTCTCTCCCTTTACTGGTGTGCCAATCCCCAACATAATATTTTAGGATTTCAAGTAATCCAATTAACTTTTGGTCTTCGCCACTTAATCTTCGAAATCTTACTTTTCCGCTAGCTTCTTCTCCAATTGATCATTCAAATTCTAAGTCTCTTATTGCAATTTCTTTAATTAAATCCTTACCTCCTAATTATATGCCTTCTCTACTACTAGTTACTCATTCAACACAGATATTTACTATTTCAATTACTTTAATATTTTTTCATCATCTCCATAAGTATTGATAATCTACTCTAACTCTTACTTTTATTGCTTTTTGTCATACAGCTTTTTCTCTAACTCAATCAAAATATCATCAATCTCCTCATGTTGCTTAATAATTTCATCCACTTGAGTCGTGTTTGGCTTGTGTGATCGTCTTTGACTTTCTACGCCAGATCTAAGCAGGTGCAATTCCTACTCCTTTTCCTATAATTAGGATTTTAACTTCTCGAATTCCTCTTGAATCTGTAAACCAAGTGCATTCAGGGATTTGGGGTACGTTAATAATTGATCGATGGGATTATCAAAAATGGGTTAACTCGACATGTCCTTCTGATTGATTCGGTTTTTCAGAGACTTAATCTCGCTAGCTTGGTCATTAATGATTTTTTCCTGCTTTGAAATAAGTGAATCAAGATCTACCTTTACATAAATTCTATACCTTAAATCTAAGTGCTCACTACTTTAAGAAGTGAAGAAGTGATTTACTACATATTCTAATTAATTAAATATAAATATTAAAAATAATTATATATCACAGCAATTCATTATTACTTCAATTGGTTATGGCTGTTAATTTCCATTAGATTGAGAACAACAAGAGCAGTCAACAAAATGAATGAAATTTATAATTTCCCTTTAATTATTTTAATTTGCATTACAAGGCTCTGTATCTTGTGTGCAGAATTAATTAAGTTTTAATTTTGCTATATTAATAAAGCCTTTTTATATCTCTTAAATATTTGAATTAACATTATTAATTACAATAAATATTTATGGAACTATTCCAAATAATAATTTTTAAAGTTTAGATTTTGAATTAGCTAAATATTAATATTCATGAGATATTTCTTGATCTTTATTTTAAATCTCGTTAACTCTTAGCAAGTAGTTTACCAGCTAGAAGCAGCTGATTAGCCCGATGGATTGAGTAGTATCGATAATATTTATCAAGATGATTAATGGGTCATTGTAGACAATTAGAATGGACTTACAAGATCCACCTGCAATAGTGTTGATGTCTATGGGGGATATGAAGTATTTACACATGATACCGTAATTTAAAAGTATTTTACTTTATTAACAGCAATTAGAGTATTTTTTGATCTAGGTCCTCATTTCAAGATGAGAATAGAAATGAATCTTTGGTGGTATGCATTTATTTATAACTCTTAGGTTCAATTTAGTATTAGAAGAGTTGATCATTGAAAATGATAATACATAAATTAATATAACTTCATCCTCATCCCTACAAACAAGATCATGCCCAGAGCTTACATCTAATTCAATTATCATCGAGTACTAAGTGCAGTGTCTGATATTTGAATTTTCTCATCAGAGGAGAAATTCCATTTTTAAAATGTTTCAAGCTTACTTTGAGCTTGAAGATGTATCATATTAGATGGATTTAGGCTACCTGGGGCTTCAATTCATTTAAAATCAGTGTTTACAATTGTCCTTCAGGATGCCTCTAATGTATAGGGGAGGACGATTTAAATTGCGGTTTGTGGAGTAAGCTTTAATTTTCATTTATTCAATGCGAATTTGAAGATTCAGATATTTAATAATGGGGTGGTGGATTGGAAGTCAATGTCGACGAATTTGGATGTTGTAAAGGAATCAATTCGATTTCTTTTGAAAATTCATTCATATTGCCTCCAAGCGATAAGATTTTAATTAGATTTTTAATAAATAAAAATACAGATTTAACCATTTGGATCGATCAAAATAGAATAAATATTTAATAAGCTGGTGTGGTTGAGTTAATTGTATAAAAATAGTTTGGTTAAACTTTGAATGTTAAGATAAGAGATCTGAATAGTTTGTCAGATTGGATGATTAGAGATTTAGAGATATATTATTAATTAAGACATAATTATATTGATAATATTATTTCTTATATAATTCTGGAATGCAGATAATTAATTGGTTAATTTTGTTTTGATTGCCAAGAAGGTTGGGAATTGGATGTATTATAAAATATATGTATGACATCATGTGGTGATAATATTATCTCTGGATTAGAAGAGTGTGATGACGGAAATTACATTCAATTTGATGGTTGTTATCAATGTAAGTTCTAGTGTATTCAATTCTGTTTAACTTGTATTCATGGTGCTTGTTTACAATGTTCAAATGGATATTCATTTAATAATAACTAAGAATGCTCTCTAAATTGTTAAGATAAAATCATCATTCCATACTATAACCAAGAATGTGAAGGCCAAGATTTTAACTAATTTCATGGTTGCTTCTAATGCTTAAATCAATTGGAATGTATATACGGTTGTGAAAAATGTGATCTTGGAACATGCTATAGATGTTAATCTGATTTCATTTTATATCAAGGTAAATGTTATTCGAATTGTGGTAGAGATAATGGGATAGTCTATGAAGATTGTGAAGATATTAATGAAGATAACATTGAATTATTATGCTAGCCTTATTGTATTACTTGTAATTTGAAGTAATGCTTAATGTGTGATGAATAATATGAACTACTTGAAGATGGATCATGTGTATTAAAAGATGTTGATAATATAAATTAGTTGATCCAAAAAGTTGATATGATATGTCAAAAAAGTTCTTTTGAATGCAATTATTATAAATCCCCTTAACTAATATTAAGTTATTTAAATATAACTTTAAATAAGTAGTATGTAAGGATCGAATTTACAGAATAAGTCAAGTCTTAGCTTTAAACACCGTTATCTGAGACCTTAATTATTGAAATCTTAAACATTACAAACTAGATGTATTCTTACGATGTAATTATTATTCAGGATTCAGGTGAGTTTGTACAGACCCTAGAATTAATCTTAGAAATTGAAATATTTGAATTGCTAGAAAAAAAGCCAGTTTTATCTCTAAACTTAAATTAGAGTTTAGTTAATTCTTTTGGATAAGGTGTCATTCAGGATTCTGCTATTATAACTCTTGAACTCCCTTCTTATCTGAATGAGAATCAAAAAAGGACATCCAATAAATTAGCTAGCATTACTGAATCAAGTATTTATGGCTTGTTAGCTGTTTGTGGAATATCCGTTCTTTTTGGAAATCTATAATACATTTTAGGAATTCTTAATATGCTGCAATATTTATCAATACTAAGGTACATAAATTTGAAATTTCCTTAGAATTTAGAAATTTACTTTTAGGCTTATGATGTTTTGACAATCTAACCGTTACTTTAACTATTACCCATTGACTTATTAAATGATATGATGTTTGATAATAGAATTAAAGATTGTAGTGGCAAATTTAAATATTATGGATTAAATGCTGATTTAATAACAAATCTCTATTGTTAAATTTTATAATGTCTAATATTTTTACTCTTTGGATTAAGCGCTAGGCATATTAAAAGAATAATTTACCATCATATATTTAGTCACAGATATTTCTAATGCATGCAAAGGTTAACACTAATAGTCAAACCTTCTATTGTTTTAATATTTAATAAATTATTGTATTAAGGAATCAAAACCTTTATTTTATTGATCTAATAATTAATCACTTGGAAGGGAATAAAGTAATTATTATTTTTAAATGGATAGGATCTAATATTTAAGGTATTATTATATTCAAATTCCATGTAATTAACCGATAATAGAGATATAATTTAAATAATAATAGCCATAATAATTTGCATATCCTATTTATTAATTGTTCTGCATACAATGTGGACTAATACTACTGTTAAATAAGTATAGGATAACAATACATTTTAGATATTAAATTTATTTAAGCAAACATTATAATTATTTTTATTAATTTATTTAGATTCTTCTGAAATAATACAATTGGGATTATTTTTATCATAAGCTCAGTGAATTTAAAACTGCTATTTGCTTATCGCAATATTTTTGCTTATTCTTAATTTATAATAAATGCAATAGTTGAAAGCTCTGTATTGTTGTTTACCTTAACATCATTTATTTACATTGAAGATTTTTAGAAATATATTTTAGTATAGTCTAAAATCAAGTGCGGTTGGGGGCATATCATTATCCTTTCTCTTGGATTATTTAGTGAATTAATCATGCTCTTTAAAGATACATTTGAGAGCATTGTGAAGATGTGCAAGAAATCACAAGAAGTTAAAATAAATAGTATGCCTTTTATTGCATGAGTATATTTATAATCTAAATTTCAACATTATTTCTTAGAATATATTTAAAAAATTATTATTTCAATTCAAAATAAAACATCAATTTTTGTGTAACTTTAAGAAAGGAAATATTAATAGAGTAGAATTTATTTTGTAATATTAGAAGGAAGAAGGATGTCAACAAATATTAAAGTGCGTAACGTAATTAGAATTCACTATATTTATATTTTCAATAAAATCAAATTCAGATAATTTTGGCTGATTAATTATGCAACCTAACCAAATAATTGTGATTTATAATCTGTTTCATCTTATGAAAGTTATATGAATTTATTATCCGATGTGATAAAAAATAAAGTGCTTTATAATAAATGAGCATCAAGTGTCTTTTAGATAATGATATGATTTTTATCAATAAGATAAACAATAACGACTTTTATTTATAATCAATTTCTTTTATAATATTTATTCATTCATTGACCTAGATAAGGTTTTGCTAAAGATAGAATCATATATAATAATGATTAAAATTACATAAATAATATATGAAATGAAAATATAATTACATCAGCCAAGCAGAGTATTGTAGTATTAGATGTCACTTAACTTCTTTACCATTTCTTTTTTCATTTGGTGAACAAATTCAAAAAATAAATTATCATGTATCTCCTCCATCATAGGTTCTACAATTTTCACACTATTTTTGAGTATATTAATTTTAAATTTATTGGTAGCTTTAAATTTCTTGAGATCTTTATTATTTAAAAATTTAATGGGAGGTTCAATTATCTGAACGTCAGGATCATTTGTCTTAAATTACTCCGCAACATTTAGATTTTATTGATTAGATTAATAGTAATTTGGAGAATCAACCTTGATTTCTGTTTACAGTTGAATTTATATGTTGTCTACTGCTTATTGGAGGGTGTCTTAATGAACATTTGCTTCATTGTTAATAACATTGTTTTAACTAGTATCCTAATTATCTTATAATAATATTTGTTAATTTTCTATTGATAAATGCTTTTCCTCAGTCTCATTTTGATTAGAGTCTTGAATCTAAGGCACATCCTGTTACTATTAATCATTCAACTATCTTGCTTAATTAATATGTTAATCATCTAGGTAAGTAAGATTTTGTTAATTAATTGAATCATCCTACACAATAGAGAGACTAATCTGATTCTCTTAATTGATTTCCTGAGGAGGATTGTCGATTTTGGTGTTCTCTAGATTGTTTTAAGGTAAATCATTATCCAATTCTAAATTTTAATTTAGATTTTCTATTTGATTAGAGTTGAGATTAATATCATTAGAATTATTTTCTAATGGAGGATCCTAATGATTCTAATTTATATTATTGCTTTCTTAAGGTTGTTGTTGCTAATCGTGATTTTAGGATTAATCAATCGAAATCAAAATTTATTACCCAAAATTTTCAATGATTTATTATTTAATTTAAGGTTCTGTTTCTTCTACAAGATTCGCAAATGTAAATTCATCATCATCATCTCCAATTTCAATAGCATCTTGATGTATTTCAGTGTTAATAGATATGTAAGTACATTATGATTTTTTATGTTATTTAAACTAAGCCAAGGTTCCCTCCCATAATTGACATCTTAAACATTTAACTTCAATATCTCCAACAATTTTGGTGGCTAGAATGTCTTTGTCAAATTAATAGTTTCGTTCAAGTCGATGTCGACATAATGGACAACTTTTTTTCATCTGAATCCAACGAACCAAACAAGTTCCACAAAAAGTATGCCTACTGATGAAAAATGAATGATACCCACACGTTGCCCTTATTGGATTATAAAATACTTCTCTGCAAATAGTGCATAATAAGTGTTAATTTACTTATTATGTTTTAATTACTTCAAATTATCTCTCTCTAATCATTTAATAAATATATTATATTTATTCTATTATTTAATAATATTTCATTGTTCTATCTTCTTAATACTGCTTATAACTACTCCACTTACAAGACTGACTATCAACAAGAAAGCGATGATAGAAAACTCTAAAATTGACAAACAATCCTCTAGAGAGATCTGAATTATATTTGGATAAAGTCACATCCATATGGACTAAATAGAAATTATCACTTTGACTTCTTATTGAATTCTTATTCGCCATAGATCTTTTCACTTAGATGTACTATTAAAAATGGTTATTTTAGATAAGAATGATTTTAATCTGAGTCTAATAATGATTAGCTTCTGGTGTAATTTTATTTTATATTCTCTCTCGAAATCTTCAGATGCAATGATCCATCTGACATATTTTTATATACTATAAACCAAAGTAGTTTTTTTGCTAGCCTGATGAATCCATCTTATCAAATATTATGTTAATTATTTCTACAATCATATATGCATTCTAATTAATCAAATAATATTTGTCCAATCCGAACAGATAACAAGGTATACTAGGAAGTGATCATATATTGATGAATTCAATGAGACCAATTCTGATCAGAGAGTATATTATCTTAAACAATAAATACAGTAATCAGTATCTATTGGGTTCTTGTTTCTATTCCGATAGACTCTTAAATCGATGGTGGATGAAGCGATTTAGGAATAATAGGGAACTTGAATTTATTTATTAATTATAGAATATTATAATTAATCAAGTGATGCTAAAAAACGACATTTCTCTAGAGGCTCTCGCTGTGGTGTCGATGTGTTTGATTACTTTAATTGTTGTGCACCTCTTGAAACAAGGGAGCAAGAATTCTGCGAGGGAGTAGCAGCATGTAAGATGGAAATAGGAGAAGAATTAATTTTCAGTGGTGTTGACAGATTCTGAATTTAACACCTTGTTGGATGAAACCAATTACATCGATTGATTCTGGGATGGATTTGGAGATGGAGATGCATCTTACAAATATCATTTCATAGGATGAGCATAAAAGTTATAAATTGAAATATTGAATAATAAAATGTTCATCTATAATGAAAATTCAATTATCTAGTTCTTGAGGAGCACAATTGATATTTATAAGCATTTGATGCAAAATAAATAAATTCATTAATTTGTTGTTTGTTAATTTAACGAATGTCTAAGTGGTTAGATTTAAGCCTAACTTGTACGCAACTAAACTTCAATCAGAGTGTTGGCAACACGTGCAGCAATCGTATGAATCTACAATCTCAACTCAATAGGTAGTCCCATGAATCTGATTGTGGATCTTTACAAGAATTCACGTTATGGACAATTGTATTTGGGAAACATCAATGCAGCCAATGACATCAAATACCTACGAGAACACTCCATCAATGCTATTGTGGCTGTGATCGACACAAGTGAAATCAGAGTTGATCCATCCATGACTCGATTGGTATCAAATCCCATCTCATAACTTAGTGGATAATGGCCGAAGACGCAGTGAACTTCGACCTCTATCGTTACTTCGATGAATGCGCCAACTTCATAAGAGATCACATCAAGAACACCAATGTATTCGTGCATTGCTATGCTGGCATCTCTAGATCTGCCTCGATTGTGATTGCATACATGATCAAACATTTGGGTTACTCTCTCAAAGAGGCCCTCAAAAAAGTCAAGGGAGCGAGATCAATCGTCGAACCCAATTCAGGTATCCGCTCACACTATTATTCTGTAGGTTTCATGAAACAACTATAGGATTACGAACACAAATAGAATCTCAATTCCCATCAAGGAACAAGAAATGGAGCCTCTTTCCATTCAAATCCCAGAGGATCAGTTACGTCTGCTAGCAAAGGGTCATTGCACAGTGCGAAACCATCCTTTTTGGATAGAATGTCCTCGGGACAAAAAGAGACCAAGCGAGATTCTGAAAGTCCCTCAGTGAGTCAATTTTATGTAAATGGAAGTGCAAAACAGACAAATAATAATAATAATCCTAAAAGTTTTTTTAAGCAAGGGAGTGTGGGATGTCTCTTAAAACAAACAAATAACGATGACTACTTCAGAAGATATTAAAAGCAAAAGAATGTCGAGAATATTTGGAATCAAGGGATGAGTGGTCATCATAAATCAGCCATTGAAATTAAATCAGACAAAATTGAACAAGTAAAATTGACTCTTTAAACCTTTGGTGTCAAGAATGTTTTTAGCGGATCAAATAATAATGGGTTACATTTTCATCACAAAGGATTATCTTAAGGTTGAATTCTAAATATTGATTATTATTTACTATTTAAGATTATTTAATGTTAACTAAACGTATCCTATGTCATAAATCTGGCTTAGAATTAGAAGAATTCAGAAAATAAAAAATTAATTTATGGATAATTGATTTTCATTTATTTATAATAATTTTCTCAATTAATTTTATGTGGTTGCAATTTTAATGCAGATCAGATTATATCCCTTACCCTTTTTCATGTTTTGACATCACATTTTGCTTAATATTACAATTTGAAATAACAACAGAAATTACTCTCTCTTGAGTGATTTATTTATAATTATCATTTGTATACATAGATAGATCAATTATATTTAATGAGTGATTGTGTGCATCCCAGACGAGATGCGTATCCCCACTTAGTGAATTTACTATTAAGCGAGTCCAAATTGCTGAAGATATTTTCGTATTGAATCGTCGCTAATTCTTAATGTTAATTGATGTGCTCATTTAATTTCGATTGGAATTGGTCAAAGTATGAAAAGAAAGTCTCAAGAAACTTCGAATTGGGATGAGATTTAAGTAATTTATTAATGTTATTTGCATGCTCTTGCATTTAATCATTGGAGATTTTGGATGTAGATTTCATTTATGTAAACAACCCATCGATGTTGTTCCATATTTGGATGGCTTCTTGGATGTCTTTCTCTTGATGAGCAGCATCCATCTTGACTTTGATTAGTTTGATGAGAGGCCTGGGTTTCTTCGGCTGTTGTGAAGTACACATGCCCATCGATGACGATATAAGAATTTTAATTAATACCAAAACAAGGATTTGCTGAAATAATATTTATATTATAAAGTCTCCTATATAAAATTCAAATTAATCGGGCATACATAATCAGACATATATATTTATATAAATATAAATTATATATATATATATTTACTAACAAAAATTAAAGCAAAGAATGGATTATCGCAGAAAACCACAATCCCTTCATCGTTAGAGAACTGGGATACTGATAACGAACAAACAACACGGCAGGAAGAAGTCGCCAAAAAAGACTTACTCCAAGGCCATTCATCCCTTAAATTTGCATACGAGGGCGATGTCTTAAAAAAACTTGGAGTTTTTGTCTTCGGAAAGGTAATGCGTCGACATATGGGTAGTTCAGAGTCTTCAAGAGCTACGATGATTGAAGACAATAAGAGTTGTTGCTGCTTCGATTGCAGCAAGCCCAATAAGAAGGTGAAAAACTTGCAAAAGAAATTCGGATAGTTTCGGACACAAATGTCAGTAGTAAGATCTCAGAGATTGCACTTAAGGTTCTAGAATGCAGTTTATTGCATCCTGTACTTGATTTACAAGAGAAGGAAACAGAAGTTGCTGGACAAATAGAAGAAGATGTTCAGATATAAAACCAAGGTGTTCTTGGAGGGATCTCCACTCTTGACTCCTCAACAACAACAACATTAACTAAATGGGCATGATGACAAACATCACATGAACATCCATTCTCAATCCATACAGGCCAAAATTATTGATCAAAGACACAAATAAAGACAATCAGTGAGAATATACTTGTAATAAAAATTGCATGACAAAGGTAAATCTCAACCCTTAATTCACTTAGATTCGCAACTCACATTGCCCAAGATCCAGAAGATTAGTTAGAGCTCCTTTGCGAACATTCAGCCCTTGAGGTTCGCAAAGGGAGAGGAGTAGAAATCCCCCAGATGCTCGACCTATCTAAAAATATCTCATCAAACAGAAAACAGTCCTTGTGCCATCCAACATTCTCCTTACTTAAATCATCTAACTTCGAGAAACCCTATTGACACTATCATCCAATCGTCTTTCAGCAGAACACCACGACCAGTAACAAAGAGCATTTCATCTGAATTACTCACTTAAAAACACTAATTTCATTAAAGAAAGAATACAGCTGCCACATTAAAGGGATTAGTTTGAATATAAGTAAATATTGGAATAATTATTTTGTTTAATGATTATTTTTACTCTATTCACAATTATATAATCATAAATAGCGCAATTATCATTAAATGGAGAAGGCCTCAAAGAATAGTTGCTTCAAGTCATAGATGAAAATTAACTGGATTGCCAAACTATCCAATTGCTAATCACCAGAGGATTCGGACAGCAGATCCTCGACTTGATAACAACCGATTAAATCATTCTGGAATCTCATTTGCAATGTGCAAAACAATCCATTCAAAATGATTTATTGCAATTGGAATCACTCAAAAAGAGATTCACCAATCATGAAAATCATGTACTCATCAAACCCATAATACTATGGGCACAATCCAGAGCCAATATTCTGATCAAGGTCAAATTTGCACATAGGATCGATGCCCCTGCTTACATTAGTGTTAAGAATCATCAAATTCAATACCTCAATGAAAAACTGTAGATTTCTGCAGAATCCGATTAGAATAACATCTTGACTAAATTCTACTTAGAGATTCCACTCCTCAATCAAATTGACAAGACCATAGGTTGGCAAGTGGAAAGTGTTGGTACCATGGTTTTGAATATCACCAAAATTGAATCCAAATTATGGTTGCATCTAAGTAAAAATAAAAATGACAAATTCTAAATTTGGTGGGACTTAAAAGAATAAGTAATATTCTCCTCTTAACAATTAGATTGGTAAAGACATGGAAGACTTTTCTAAAATGCTTGACAATCAAGAAGACTATCTAAAAAATAAGAAAAAACAGCAAAAAAAAGGTGACTCTTCACAGCCATCCCAACAACAACCCTCGTCTATTAAGACAAACATATTTGTGGCATTTTTTCTAAAGATCAAATAATGGTTTAATAAATGGTTTTGAAATTAAATATATATGTTATAATCAGATTTCTAAATAATATATTACCCTTCTATCATTTAAGTGATACAAGTATTCTTTTTAATCAATTTGATGATCCAATAATTGTTGGTTTAAATTCCATTTCAGACATTCACATCCGAAACTGACCTAATTTAAAGTCCACTTTAATTTTGAATAGGAATTGGTCTTCCCTTTGAAAACTGCCTTATATCGGTCAATTGCACAAAATTCCAAGTATTTCTCTCTCAAGATACCAACCATTATTAAACTATTCTGAGGGATCACTAATTATGCAATGTCTTAGTAACTAGTATATTCAAAATATTAGGCATTGTAAATTTGAACCCACGAATTAAACTATGATATGGGAATGTGCTAATCCAATCCAAAGGAACACCCTGTCTGAAATAGAGCTGAGATTATTTTAGCCTATTTCTATGACTTTTTATTTAATTTCTGCAAAATGCTCAAGTTCTTCCTCTTTCTTTCAATGATCTCTGTTAAACAATTATTCATGTCCGATTAGTCAATTGCAAATTCGCCATCAACAACTATTATCCTATTTGCTATGTATTGCATAATGGCCATGAAATCAGACTTCATCCCTCCCTAAGTTCCGTCATCAGTTCTTGAAGTATCTCCATCAATTTAAGAGTAATGGGATATGATGCCATAGATGTCTTTGAATGGCTTTTAGTACTAGCCCAAGATCAATAATTCCCTCTTCAATTATTCTTAAATTGAATTGTTGATATTTGAAAGTGTAGATTGCAATTGCTGAACTTCCAACATTCCATCAACACTTAAATCTTCGAAATACTCAGCCTTTGGATTTTATGTCTGACACAATATTAACACTTCATCTAATGGAACAAATGATTCCAATGTATGACCATTATCGCAATGATATTTTAATTAGCATCGACAACATATTGCACCCTTATTATTGCAATTAGGATGTCTGCAAACCATATTTAATTGATAACTAGGATGCTTACTGCAATAAATTTAAGGAAAATTAACGAATAAATCTGTCATTTTAATATTTTATTAAATGACTTTTATCACAATTCACTTAATAATCTCTAATCATTTAGAATAGAATTTTTAGTCATATAAATAATTTAAATAATTCAATAGTTATTCTGTGCATTAGTTTAATAATTATTATTGTCTTTGAATTAAGATATTCATTTCCTATTGGTAATTCTACTCCTATTGAAAAGGTACTTAGTTATAGCTCTATTTCGAAACAAGCTAAATGAAATTCATTTCCTGTAATTAGCTCACCAATATAATACTTATGTTTTAAAGTATATCTCTAAATTATTATTGTTACAAAAAGGACTAACAATAGTCAATAATCTAAATATTTATCAAATGAATTGAAATGCAAGAAGTCTTCGTTCGTGCATCTATTGATATATTTTATATTTGTCTTTGGCATAAATAGTAATTAACAGATTTCCCCTCGCCTATATAAGTGTATATTTATGCAATTTATATAGATTTAAACCTAGTTTTTCTTTTTCCTCTTGACATAGTTACATTAAAGATCATCAAGAATAGATTATAGTCTAGAATTGGATTCTACTTTATTATTCATTGTCTTTGTATCCCAGACTTTTACTATTATTCAAAGATATGGCTATGTGATTACTTCTATATCAAGATTCATCAATTAATGTGATAGATTTCTTCTTCAGGTGGGATTACTTGATGTAGTCAATTAAATTCATGTTTATTAATTTAATTATGTAATTATTTGCATATTCATTTATTGTTCCATCCTCGGTTTCCATAATATATGTTATACTGATGATTTGTCGTTATTGCCAATTAAAGTCGGACATCGTGGCTGATGAAATAAACTTGAATTGCTCTCTCAAATTTCGTGTGAGTGTATTGATTTGTGACATAGGTATACATTCCCATATTAATAAGTAGTCTAGGCATTTAAAGTACTTAGTGTGCATTCATATTTCTCTGCAAGAATTGTGAAGAATATCAACACTATGTTTTGATAATCCTCCTCGTCAACATGATTGCTTTAATCCTTTAAATCTTCCTCATGGTACAAAAACCTTGCAATTTAGATCTTCGAGTATAAGAAGCGAGTACCTTTATTTTTCGTCCATAAGCTTTATTGGATTGTTAATTGGATTGTTCTTTTAATCATAGCAGCCTTGATCGTTTATTATGAAGGTTACTTTTTGGATGTGATTTTAATCTTGGGTAGATTGCTCCTAATATCCATCCTTTTGATATACACACTCTTTATCAGAAAACAAGACTTGGCAGAATTTGAAGATTTGGGATTTTTCAATAGTGAATTGCCAGACATCGATGTTTCTTCATAGGAGCAGAAACTGAGAATTTCGACCCTAAATAGTACAATTTAAATGTTAATAGGTAGATCTTCAAACCCAATTTTTTTCTGTGGAACTTAAAAAGATGTGGAATATTGTGGATAATGATATAGAAATAAAATTGAATATGTAAAATTTAGTATAGTAATGTGTAGCCATTTTGCAGAGAAAGAGAAAAGCATGAAATTGAAGAAGAGAGTGTCAGAGTTGTTCGACATGCATTCAAAATTGGTATTGGAATGCGCAGTCTATTTTGAGTAGCATAATAATGACTAACTCGAATTGAATTTTTTGATCAAGTAGATTTCAGAGAGCACAGATTTGCAAATGATCAACTACATCCAAAAATACTTAAATGTGATCATGAGTAAAATAGAGTTGATATGCACGACCTTTCTGGATTTCATTGAATTGCCTCAACAGGAAAGAGAATTGGTGGACGACATCAAACTGCAAAACAGACAACTCCACAAATAGTCATTCACCAAGAAGCAGCAACAAACCAATTTCCCTTACAAGAAATGGGAATTGCAACAGCCCTACATTCCCTATGTGAATGTGAAGATCAAGGAACATCTGACAATCAAACAACATGGCGATTCCTACATCCAATACCGGATAGTGCTCAAGATCAATTAAGAAACCCTGGTTACGCAGAAGAGATTTAGAGAGTTCTCTGAGTTGAATGAGCAATTGAAACAACAAGGCATTAAATACTCGTCCTTATTCCCCCAAAAGAGTATCGGAAAGTTGACTGACTTGGACGTGGAAGAAAGAAAGAAGGATTTGGAAATCTACTTGAAGGTGTTATTGAATGACCGGAGTAGTCATAACTGTTTGCCATTATTCAAGTTTGTTGGTATCACTATGGTTTAGGAACTCTTCTTAAAAAAGCAGCACCAACGCATCCAAAAGGATGTGGAGTAGGTCATTCAATCCACGGTGAAGTTTCTGTAATTTGAGGATGTTCAGGATTCGAATGGAGACAAATACTTTAAGTACTAATTCCAAATTGTGAATACTAATGTCTTCAATCAACATCATATCATTACTAAGCGATACTCGCAATTCGATGAATTGCACAGCATCCTGAAACAGAGGTATATCTTTGTGTTGATTTTCAATAGGGTCCAATTTCTACCTTTATTGCCGTAGAAAAGCAATGCTCTCCAGTAGAATGTCAATCCGAACCAAAGAAGTGGGTTGCTGCTCCAATATCTGAATGAGTTGATAAAGAATCCGTAGGTTTGTGAGAACCCTCATTTTAGACAGTTCATTGACATTCCCTTTTTTAATTTTGAATCTGACGAGGCAACCATCCCAGAGACTGCCAATTAGTTCAATCAAATCTTGAGACATCTAGACAACGATTCGATAGTTAGCAAGATAGACAACATGAAAGTGAGATTGTGGGATTGAATGTTTATATATATATATAAATATCTATATATATGATCCTTTTCTCGTGTTTGAATTGGAAACAAACTAAACAACATTCTGACTTTCATTTTGGAATGATAATTGAACTAAATATAAATTTATATTAAATATGAATAGATCTCGCAGGAAGGAATTGCTACAGTTGGTCAATAAGAAACGTAGTTTTCTCTCTCCCCAAATTGGCAAGTCGATCACCAACAAGCCTTTTCGAAGACAGAGTTGTAGATGCACTGAATGCGGAGGAGTGGGGCCTTTTCAAGAAAGATAGAATGCTCAACATCCTCAAACCTACATTAGAGCTCATCATTGTAAGAAAAGAAAACGGAGGATGCAAAGGAGAAAAGGCACTTACCTCACTTCCACGAGTTTGAATGTTGGATAGTCAGAAAACAACACAATCATCCTCCAGAATGCTCCCAAGCTAAGAAAGGCTAAGACCATTTCCATTACGAAAGAATTACAGCAAACAATCAGAAAAGGCAAGAGACTTTTAACCAAAGACGATCAGCAAATAAAATACGAGTTTTTCTATAACAACGAACTTAAGTTATCGAAAGGCTTTTTAGAAAATTCACTGAGTTCCCAAACTTACGAAGCTGCCCTCATATCCTTTGTCAATTTCACCAAGTCTCCAAGCTTCGTGCTTAATAGTTACAACAACATAATCAACGAATCCAAAACGAGTTCAGACGACGAATAACATTAAAAACACTTACAAGACAAGCAACTCTAATTCACAACTCCTAAAATTAAAATTAAAAATAACTCCATGCATAGTCGAAAACTTACTGAAGGAATGATGCATCCAAACATAAACAAGACAGTCCAGTAATTTGTTTAATCTTGTAAAACCATCAGAGTATTGAATTCTCCAAAGCCTTCAAAACAACTCAAATTACCCTCTATCAACTCTAAACGTGAATAAAGCAAATTCTCCGTTTACTTATTGAGTTCTCCTCGAAGAGCAGTAATGGAATTGAAAAATCAAATCACTTCTTAAAAAAAAATCAAAGTCTTAAAAAAATGATATTTATTTATATTATGATTAAAACCCCTTTCAAGTTCTTATTTAAATTCTCTATCGAAAATAAGCATCATATGTAAAATAAGAAATGGTTAATATCATATGAAAATATATTTTTTATTTCAAACCTTGCATCAAATCCCCTCCTCTTGCTCAAACATCCAATTGTAAATCATTTTAGAATGTTCCAATTTGCATGATCGATGAAGGGTATTATCCAACAGTAATAATATTGGCTTAATCAATCTCTTTTATATCTTGGTTTTTTCTAATGTCATTCTGATCAGCAACTTTGACGAAAGCTTGGGTGTCTGGTATATAATTGAATCCAAATTCACTGTTCCTGATTCCCTTGGTTAATGGGAAATCACCCAAATCATGGTCAAATTAATTTAGGTTATCTATCAAATAGTTCACTTAACATATCTACCTGTCTACGCATACGAATAAACACTCTTGTCGTCATTGGCTCCGTTCATAGTGTTATTACGTCGTTCTGGAATGAACTTTTAAGGCGGCCTAAATTTCATATGACATGGTTTAAGATTAGGCAATGAACCCTCCATCAACAAGTCCAGATCCTTAAAGTGATTTAACATATTGTTCCAAAGATTGTCCTATCAATAGATTACATCAATGTACTTTGCACAAAACTCTCGCATTCCCTATGATTATCAATCCAAACCTAGCTCTGGTGATTGTGACATTCAATCTCCTGGGATTCGTCAAGAACCCTATGCCTTGAGTGTCATTTGAGCGGACACATGAGATGATAATGAAATCCTTCTCTCTCCCCTAGAAACCATCTACTGAAGCAACCTCAATGTCTCTGTATTGATTATACGGTAGTTGTCCATTCTTTTGGAGATAGGAAATTATGTATGTGCGTTATCCTTTGTAAGGAGTGATGATTCCGATCTTGTTCAACTTCACCGTGTTCTAGTATAGATAATAGACTGCTTGTTCAACAGCAACAGCCTCTTGAGTGTTCAGATACGAGGTGCCTGATGCTGAGAGTTATTCCTGTCCTTAAACATTGATGAATATCATGGGCTTCTACTTGTTGGGCCACGGGAAATTGCCAGAATGAGTCCTATCACTTATAGTGACTCCGTTCTACAGTGTACCTTCATAGAATGTATTGGAGGGAAAGACTGTTAATTCAGGATGCATACGATATTACACTTACAATCGAACAGGTCTTATTCCCAACTGCACCAATCTTTCAAATAAACTCCTGTCCAAACCTACTGAGGCTGCTTCTCGACTCTACACCACTGGACCCAATTGTCTATGATCTCCAACCAAAATCACATGTTGAGCTCCCTTTATCATGGGTAATAAACACTCTGGCTCTATTGCTTATGTTGCTTCGTCAATTAAAACAAAAGGGAATCTCATGTCTTTGAGTCTTTTATCAGCTGATCCAATACAAGTAGTGCAAATGATATCAGCCTATTCAATGATTTCCTTCTCTGCCTCATCCCTCATTCTGATGAACACTTATTCATCCTTTTAATCTAATTCCCCTTGTTAATCCATCAATTCATAAAACATCTATAACTAGTGATATTGTGGGATATCCAAACTTCTCACTTAATTGTGCAATGTCAGAAATTCAATTGTTGTACTCACACTTTCTCTTGTTTTACTACATAGTCTGACAACCTTAACTCCTGTTTTGTTGATTTTTTCAGCCAATTAGTCAACGACTATGTTACTTGGTGCACAAACCAAGATCTATCCTCTTTACTTTTGCTTTTCCAATGCCTTTACCAATTGATAAACAATGGTGGCACTGGTCACAGTCTTACCAGTTCCTGGAGGGCCTTGTATTAAAGACAAGGGAGACTTCAATGCTTTCTTAACTGCATCTGCCTAATAGACATTCAGATCTGGGAGGTTGGGAGCAGATAACTTCTGAGGAATGTTCTCCACTTTAGTTGGAGGAGCCACAGTATCTATTCTTCCCAAAATCATCTTGTAAATATAATTGCTAGTCGAACTCTCATTTAAATTGAAAGTCTTTAATCCAATCTACATCCTCTTAAATGTAGTCGACACCCATATGCACTCGACTGTGTAACCCTCGTCTGCATTATTGGGAGGAGGGTCATTCTGATGTAATTCCAAACAGATTTCCTCGTTATTTATAACTTTGACCACAGTTCCCTTGGATTACCAAATGGAATTTCCAGATTTTAGACTTAATTGCATTTCACTCCCTTAAAGAGTGTTTGTGTCAAATTCTTCTCTGCCTCCATACAAGAAGTAAGCCAATCTCTTTTTCTTCAAACTCAAGTCCCATTTCACCTTCACACTCTACAACACCTGACCTTCCTTAACTTGCTTGTCTTATTCTTCTTCCAATTTCACCAAAGGAGAAAATACTTGCTAATAGTGATTGGCATCTTTGTATCGCAATTGCACCTCCTTCAATTATTGGTTTGGACCCTTTCGATCGAAATCTTCGAATTTTAATTATGGCTTTTGCTTTCTCTCCTCCTCGTACTGATTTATGCGCTCCAAGGTAACCATACGGGACTAGGTGAATAATTAGGGAATTGGAGTACATTCAATTTTTCTCCTTGTCCCAACAACCAATCCTGAATGCACTTGTCCTTGATGAGCGGCTAATAATCATTTGAGTCCCAAGTAATTTTGTCTGACTGTTTCAGTGGGAGGCATCCTCGACACAGAATCAAGATGTTTTCCTCTCCATCCACCTTAACTAATCAAGAATGTTCAATAATCCATACCATTAACTTATCCGAGAGTGAACATGTTCCTCTATTCGCAAATGTAGCACTCTATTGTCGTGATTTGCACCTTGTTCTACTCGTGCAAACTAATTTAACTATGCTTGCTCTTGATCAAATGTAGGATTATGTGAGATCCACTTTTCGTCGCACAATTGCAATACCATCTCTTGCACTATAAACACTGTGCCACTGCATTAACATCCGATTATAAACAATATCTAATTCATGTCAAATACATACTCGCAAGAATAATCCGCTATCTGAAGTTGTTACTCAGTTGCCCTTTTTATTTTGTCGAGTATTTCCGTCATACAAACTCTTAGACAATAATAATTTAATTTAAATACAATAAAAGAATTTTTACATGAAACTATGTAAAAGCAAAATTCTTAATTTACACTACATTAGTCTTTAAAAAACTAATCTCACTCAAAGTATTTAATAATGAATATTTAAATCGAATTATATTTAAATTGGTTAAGTTTTTGGGAATTTGCAATAATAAGTAAAATTCTAGATTTCCATTATTATTACATTTATCAATTATAGTTATTCTTAATTGAAGTGAAGGAGTTTAGAATATTAATATCAGTCTGTGGACCTTACTTTAAATAAGTAAGATCTATTTCGATGTCAATATCTTTTATTAACAATAAGATGAACGATCTCCAAAACTGAAATAGAATAAAATATATATTGCAAGATATTCATTAATATAGCACCTATTATTGTGATGGAAAATTAAGTTATCATTAATTGTTTGTAATCACACACATATTTAATATACTTAATGATTATTGTTATTCATATTTGATTTATTCTATTCACTCTAAAAGAGGAGAGAGAAATGTTGAAATAATTCTTGAGGTTAGATTTCTAGTAAATGAAGACGGTTATTGTCATGATTTTTATTAATTATATCAAAAACGAATATGAGCAGATTTGTGTTAGGAGTATTATGTGTGATTTTGGTGACATCAGGAAATGTAATGTTGCAGACAGCAGATCATGGGGTTATCAATAATAATAATAAGGCAATTCATATTGAATAGAGTCTACTAAATGACAATATAGATAGAATAGCTAGATGGCCAGTAGAAAGCGAATGAAAACAATTAAATTTTTAAAATAATGAACATTTTATTAGAAAAACTTAACCCGTTAGTTACAAAGTGTGGTCTTGATAATATGGATGAGATTGAAATCCTAAAGGGACCATGCAAAAAAATAGGAGTTCGTCCTGCTCATGTTGTGTTTATTTGTGCAGTTGTTTCTGTGGCCAGCATTGTGCTAGGAATTGCAGCACGTTTTCTATCCACTTTCGTTTCCATGATATATCCTGCTTATAGAAGTATTAAGGCAATAGAGTCAGACAGTACTTAGTGTTAAATAACATGATAGACAAAGAAGATGACAGACAATGGCTATCATATTGGATATTGTTTTCGCTCATCACATTGGCAGATTCAAGCATAGGATTTGTTTTGGAATTTATACCGTTCTACCACGTGATTAGATTGGCTTTGTTTGTCGTTCTCTTCCATCCATCCTTTAACGGAGCAGAGAAGGTGTACAAAATTGTAAGATAGTTCTCTTATTGTTATAGGTTGTTCAACCAGTTTACTTGAAATACCATAAACACATTGATTAATAGATAGATTAGGTGTCTAACAAACTGAAAAACCAGAATATGTATTGATAGAATTACAGGGATTTGCATTGATTGTATAATGAAGTTCAAATAATAAATATATTGCAATTAATATAATTTTCTACTTTTAATTAAAAATAGGGGGGGGGGTAGGTTAAATTAGAGGGATCGAGATTGATTAAATACAAAATAAAATTTATAAAAAGAATATGAGTTTGCACCCAATACCTGAGGTTCAATGTGAGGTTGATCAATAAGACTTGATTGAAAAAATGCTGCGCAAGATTCGCTTTCTTGAGAAGCGATGCAATTTCCACAAAAGGAAGAGGGAGTTCATGAAGATCTAATTGCATCAAGCGGAGACTCCAAATAACAAATTATCAGAATCGAAGGTCTCAGTGTCATCAGCTGTCAATTGCAATCTTCCAACCATGCCTGATGAGGCTGATTTGATCCAAAGATACTAAGAAGAATTGTAATTAAAAGAGACTTTAATTTCGGAACTGAAAGAAACAGTTGCTACACTCGAAAACAAGGTTAATAATTTGTAAGCATGCAATGACGAGATGTAATATCAATTATCGAAGAAGCAGCAAGAATTTGTAAGAAGTGATAAAGTGACTCAATCAGGTATATAAATATATGCTAGATATAAATAGTTATCATCCCAAAATCTACTAGTCAGACTGAAAAGGCAATGGCAGTCATTGACAAATTCGTTTAGCCCATTTCATCGAGTTCATTCAAGTCCACCGATGGCAAACCTCAGTCGACTGAAGAGAAGAGGAAATTGATAAAGAAATTAAGCATGCATGCTGGAGCTTCTGCCTATATGATGGCCATGAAGGGTGATTATTCGACATTGCAGAATGCTTCGGAAGAGATCCAGAGCAACAAGAGTCTGGAACAACCATGAATTAATTAATTTAATATATAAATTTGCAGTTGCTGAGAAATACAAATGGATTTTGCTTAGGCAAATACTAAAAATTTGTTTATAAATAATAATTATGTAAGAATCAGATATTGAATCTCAATTTTTATATCAGTCGATCATTTAACAATAGGAAGGAGTGGAGGAGAAACAAATATTGGTGAGCAGACTGACTGAATCCAATCAAATGCAGGATGAATCCGTTTAAATCAATTTAGATTCCGAGATCATCACTTAGTTGAGGGAGGAGATTGGGCAATTGTAGAAATTGAATCAGAATCTCACTGATCAGATTAAGGAGAAAGATAATTAGATTGCTCAATTGAATGAGAGAGTGTAAAGACAATCCTTATTGAATGAGACTTTTCAAATTGCTGAAGTATAACTAAAATAATAAGTTGAAGAGTTGAAGAAGAAAATTGCAGAACTCTAAGAGCAAATCACCTCATTCCCTCCTCTACTGTAGAGTGTATCTAAACCCAACCTGGATTTCAGTTGGGTCAATCACATGGAAAGAGATCTCTCACATGATGGCTTGTTGGAACGATACGATCGTTACAAATCCAACAAGCGTCTTGCTCCCATTCAGGTTAAACCCTACTCCGAGAAATTCAAATACAACAACCAACACAACAGTCCATACTTCGAACAACTGACCGAGAGAACTCAAAACATTCAAAGGAAAAGAATCAATTAAAATAAATAATGATTTTGTTCATCTGTTTCACATTGATATTTACTAAAGAATTAAATCAACATCTCAGGATTAGCAACTGCTCCCCTGGATTACCATATTTTTCAGTTTCCAAACCCATCAACAACCCTAAGTATTAGATGACTCTCTTTCTCGCCACTCACAAAGCATGCAAAGCCTGTTGCATTCATGAAGTCATTTTCAAATAATTGCTGCAAGATCTCCCCAAACAAGTGAACTTCCTGAGGATCGAATTAGAAGGTATGTCTCACTACCACTTTTAGATAACGCCTCCTTCATAGAACAATATCAAATCAAACGATTTCCAGCCATCTTTCTGGAAACCAAATCTGGACTCATCTATCATTACAACGACCTGCTTCACTATGAAACCCTCCTCTCCTTCATCCACTACTACTTGAATGGATTGCAATTCACCCAATTTCACTCTCTCCAAGACATCGAGACTGCCATCAATAATTAGCATAATTAGCAATCATTATATGACATTCANACCGATGGCAAACCTCAGTCGACTGAAGAGAAGAGGAAATTGATAAAGAAATTAAGCATGCATGCTGGAGCTTCTGCCTATATGATGGCCATGAAGGGTGATTATTCGACATTGCAGAATGCTTCGGAAGAGATCCAGAGCAACAAGAGTCTGGAACAACCATGAATTAATTAATTTAATATATAAATTTGCAGTTGCTGAGAAATACAAATGGATTTTGCTTAGGCAAATACTAAAAATTTGTTTATAAATAATAATTATGTAAGAATCAGATATTGAATCTCAATTTTTATATCAGTCGATCATTTAACAATAGGAAGGAGTGGAGGAGAAACAAATATTGGTGAGCAGACTGACTGAATCCAATCAAATGCAGGATGAATCCGTTTAAATCAATTTAGATTCCGAGATCATCACTTAGTTGAGGGAGGAGATTGGGCAATTGTAGAAATTGAATCAGAATCTCACTGATCAGATTAAGGAGAAAGATAATTAGATTGCTCAATTGAATGAGAGAGTGTAAAGACAATCCTTATTGAATGAGACTTTTCAAATTGCTGAAGTATAACTAAAATAATAAGTTGAAGAGTTGAAGAAGAAAATTGCAGAACTCTAAGAGCAAATCACCTCATTCCCTCCTCTACTGTAGAGTGTATCTAAACCCAACCTGGATTTCAGTTGGGTCAATCACATGGAAAGAGATCTCTCACATGATGGCTTGTTGGAACGATACGATCGTTACAAATCCAACAAGCGTCTTGCTCCCATTCAGGTTAAACCCTACTCCGAGAAATTCAAATACAACAACCAACACAACAGTCCATACTTCGAACAACTGACCGAGAGAACTCAAAACATTCAAAGGAAAAGAATCAATTAAAATAAATAATGATTTTGTTCATCTGTTTCACATTGATATTTACTAAAGAATTAAATCAACATCTCAGGATTAGCAACTGCTCCCCTGGATTACCATATTTTTCAGTTTCCAAACCCATCAACAACCCTAAGTATTAGATGACTCTCTTTCTCGCCACTCACAAAGCATGCAAAGCCTGTTGCATTCATGAAGTCATTTTCAAATAATTGCTGCAAGATCTCCCCAAACAAGTGAACTTCCTGAGGATCGAATTAGAAGGTATGTCTCACTACCACTTTTAGATAACGCCTCCTTCATAGAACAATATCAAATCAAACGATTTCCAGCCATCTTTCTGGAAACCAAATCTGGACTCATCTATCATTACAACGACCTGCTTCACTATGAAACCCTCCTCTCCTTCATCCACTACTACTTGAATGGATTGCAATTCACCCAATTTCACTCTCTCCAAGACATCGAGACTGCCATCAATAATTAGCATAATTAGCAATCATTATATGACATTCATATCATCGGATTATTCTATGATCAAGTGGAATATCAAGATGAAATAAAACACTTTACTCAACAATGTAAGAAGCTCTATAATTATAGAATCAAATTTGGATTCTTAATGTAAAAATCAGAAATTAAAACCATTTATTCAAAGTTTAACACCTATTCCCATATTTTAATCTCCAGATTCCCAAATCATTATTAATTTGTTGATGATTTGTTGGCCTAACCAATCGTACCATTAATCAATGAATTGAAGTTTGAGAATTCCAAACACTACCTAGGACATGCACTCATCGTGATGGATTCCATTCAAGACAATCAGAATTACTTGCTCAAAATACAAAAGATCGCACTCTAATTGCCCTCTCTAAGATTCGCTTGGATCGATGGAAATTTGAATGAAGATCGACTGTAAATGTTGGGAATAGAGAAATTCGACCAAGATACCAAACTAACAATCTTCAATTTGGATTCAAATGCTAATGCCATTTACAATGGAGATTTGCATAATCTCACTACCATATTCACCTTTTACAAAGACTTCCTCTCCATGGACTCAAAACATTTTCACTAAAAATACTCATTCATCAAAAAGGAGTAAAACAAAATTCCCTCTTAACCCTACATTTAATACAATGAAAATACTCTCATCATTCTGATACCGCAATATGATGAACACCATAATAAAATCATCAAATAGTTACAATAAGTAAATAAGAAGTTCCATAACCAATTTAATGTTTCCTACTATGAAGCCAATCAATTCAAACTGATCTATTATTATAATTCTATCATTCATTAGCTGTCCATCGAATCACTTGAAACAGCCTTGAGGGAAATTGAATAAATAAACAAAGATGTAAAATTTCCTCGTGAAATTCCATTACTTATAAATGATCAAGATTTAATTGATTTTCTATTAATATAATAATAATGATAAACGATTAGATGATTAAGAGATTGGAAAAAGAATTCGAGTAAGTCTAAGCTGCCATAGATGAAGGTGTCATTGAAAACGTGACCGTTGCTGTCTAATATGAAAACAACTCAGCAAACTACACAAAATGGGATGTGGTGATCTATGGAAGGGAAAATACAATATGGCAAGGAGGTGAATTCCCAGGTACTTTAGAATTCCCTTAAAATTACCCCACTACATCGCCCGTCTACACTTGGAAGTTGTAAAAAACCAGATTTCTTCACATGAACATTTATTCCTCAGGCAAAACTTGCATTGACATCCTCAATGATAAAATAGGATATTCACCTGCTAAGACATGTGTAGAAATACTGAAAGCATTGGAAGATTTCCTTTATCGTCCTAATCCAAAGTCACCAACAAATGCTGAATTAGCTAAGACTTTTGAACAAGACTTACCTAAATACGAAGCAATGATTAAAGAGTTCGTTTAAAAATACATGGAAGAAAAAAATAAAGCAGAATAAAAAATTTGAGTATGATTGTTAAATTAATATATATATATTTAAAAATAGATTTTACAAACTTGCAATAAATAAGTTTATTATGATCAATTGAAATCTCAACAATCTGTTTACCTACTCTTAACTATTAACTACTCATTGAAATATTAATCTCAAATAAAAATAAAATAAATGAACTATTTTTAGATGTATCTTGTGTAAACTCTCATATTCTTTTTTGTGCCTTTAATATTATTGTAGTAAAGTAAGCATTACTGACAATTGGCGAATATGAAAAACAGAAGCTTAGCTTAATATACTATACTAATATATTGGATTTCATTTTAATTAAACTACTGTCTCATATTATTAAATTCCTTAATCTATAAAGTTAAAAGTTTACTTACCATTTCAAGCATGAGATTAAGATCATTTTTACAATAATATTGATATTTTAATATAAGATATAATGGTCAATTTTAGTAAAAAAGATCATTTGCATTTACACAATTAGGAGTTGTATATTAACCAAAAGGAGGGCAACACAAACAATGCTCTGGCCGCTTTTTAAATAGACTCTTTATGAGATATATGATAAGTGGACTACTGACCTATCCAATAAATATTATGTGGAAATACTTAATAACTATATTAAAAGGATCTGATCCAATTTAGTTCATCAAATTAATGTATATAATAGAATAGGTATACTTTTAATGATATAGCAATTGCCCAAATTATAAATCAATATATATATTATAAAATTAATTATGGATAATTCAGAGTAGGAAAGAAGAAGAATTGAGAGAAAATTGAAATACAAAATGCCTGTTACATTGAGATGGGGTGCTCTTCTTGGATTATTTGGAGGTATCATACATGGAGGTCTCAGTGGAGGAAGAACATTTTATGCATTCTCTCATAGTGTGGGTGGAGCACTTGTGATTGGTTTGGGACTATGCTACCATGATTTTTATTTATATGCCAGAACATATTGGTGATGGTTTTTTATGAATATTATTTATTTCATCCAGGTCTAGCCCAATTCTTAGCAGGTGGTAATTCCCTTAAGGAAAGTTTGTCATATGGTGTATTACGTCTATAATAGTTGATAACTATTTTACGGTTCATTGGAATCTTTCTTAACTACCGAATTCCATGAGGAGATCTAATATCCTTACCATCCATAAGCAATAAAGATGAAAAACACCCATGGCAATATTCTTGTATTCATAACTGGAGTGTGAATGTTGAAAATTCCATTCCTCTCAAAAGATGTTGTTCTTCTGAACCATGCCATTGTTGCAGGAGTACGACCTACACTTAATTAATATTTATTCACTTGTGGTGGCTGTTCTTCTTACTAGTCCTTCGATAAATGAAGGGATTTCTGGTTGTACTTCAAATTTCCCAACATTTGCAGCCAAATAGTCAGATTTCTCTGTCATAAGTAACAATGGCATTACATTATTGCAATTATCCGAATTCAGGGCCAACCTTCTCATATTTGTTTTGGAAGAGTGGATCAAATTTGCCAAAGGTTTTTGTCTCAGGTATATAATTAGTCATAAGAATTATAATTAATTTATATTATCATTTAGTACTTTACAAACATTTTTTGTTTACCATAAATTTTAATAACAAATCTCCTATTGACTGAGTAGCCAATTTGTGGACATCAAACACAGTCATTTTTTATCTGGATTTATCACTTGCCTCTCTCAGTCTTTTTTTCTCTTTCTCTCTATTAAGAAAGTCTTTCATCGTTTGATCAATGAAGATTAAAAATTAAACTATGAAAGACATTCAAATTTTGAAATTCGTTTGTTCACAATCATTAATATTTAATTATAATTATGCAATCATTTTAATCCCTTCTTTATTTACTTTAAATGTGGAAAGTTTTAGTTGTGATTAAAATACAATGTTAAATTATAGAATATTTCAAATATTCTATAAGAAAAAAAGAAAATCCGAAAGAGAAAGCTGAGAAGCATTCATCAAACATATGAAAATCTCAATTTATATAAGTAATAAGGGTAGTAAAAACATCATTGTTTGAGTATTCCTTTTACAGGTGTTTTGGATGACGATGGTACGTTGCCAGTGTAAAATGTTGATATAAAGTCCACTCTTTAAGTTCTTTTGAATTTGCAAACTGAATTCTGTGATTTAAACTACACTGAGAAATCTCTGATTTGAACATCCTCAATATCTCCGATGGGTTTGAATGGTTTGTTTAACTGTAATTATGAGTTCATTTGTATTAATTTATGACAATTTAATTGAAATGCGATTTAATCCTATTATCTTAATTGGGTCCGAATTTATCGTAATTGAATTCCTCGATCAAATTAATAATCAACATTCATTTTCCATATTCCGAAGATCAAAGTAGCTGATTGTTAGAGTAAAAAATATTTAAAATTAGATTCAAAATAAAAACAAGGCATATCATGTTCGAAGGTGTGGGTAATTTATGAGTAAGCGAAATATTTGAATGAAGAAAAATCAATAAAATTTGAGAAAGGAATTTGAGAAAAAACAAGAAAAATGTTTAAATTTAATTTAAAAAAGAAAAAGAAAACAAAGGTTCGATTAATTTTTTAGCTTCTGAGAGCATCTAAATTAGTAGTGGTCGTTTTAACTGGCAAGCACAAATATAAAAATCTTACTATTAGTCTAATTCAAATAATTGATGACTTTTTTAACATTAATTATAACTACAATAATATTTTTAAGGTAAAATATAGAATGCAAAAATAATCAACCAATATAATTGAATTGAATTGAGTATACAAATTAGTTCTCATCTAAAGTATTTTTATATTTGTCATCTCTACTAATATATATATTTTACAGTAATACTTAATTTATAAAAATTATTGCATTTTCTTAAGGTTTACTCTTTTATTTTATGTTCTAATCATTCCACTTATTTCTAGTTTCAGTTATTTTTACTCTTTTCAGATTTCTAATAATAAAGAGGTGAAGAAATGTATTAATTTTTATGATTTTTCAAATATATTCACTTTAGATTACTTTATTTATTCTAAACAATCCCTTTGTAAGGTTTTTTCAGAAATCTCAACTCTTATTTAAGTGTAGGTATTGGTATTAAGCATAATCCAAACTATTTTTAAAAACCTTTAGATTCGTTATGTGATTTATGTTGATTACAAAAATATAAAAAGGATGGTTAAATTGCATATAGTAGAGATAGACATCTATACAAATAGTTGGAAAAGGATATAAAGATGATGGAAAAAATTAATTAGTGTAGATAAGCCTTGAAACTTCAAACTGGACAGAAACAAATAAGTGAACTTATTAACTTGGATCTCTAAGTATGATTTCTTATCAGATATACTGATAGCGAACAATCAATTTTTATGTTGCTCTTAAATGTTATTATTTAAAAAATAATGTAGATTATCACAGAGAATGACTACTTATTTATGAGACATAGTTTGAAGATTCTCATAATTAAAATGCTCTAAGCCACTATAAAAACCTCATAAGAAATATTTAAAGATTGGTCTATTATCTCTTAATTACATTTGGGTTTATCATTTTAATTAATTCTTTTTAGTGTTTAAATTCATTGGCAAAATTAAACCAAACCTATATACCCCTCTTTACGGACTTTAATTTTAATATGCAAATTATCATGATTGATACAATTAATTTAAAACATTTGTAGTTTGGGTTGATTAGGATGGGTTGATTTCCAAGTAGAAATTAAAAAACAACCTGAAATATTAATTATAACAATTGAATATCAATCTAAGACCTATCACACAGCTGTTCTCAAGACTGAATAAATCAAACATTTACTTAGAAATGAGTGTGTATAAAAGGAATATAAAATAATTTGCAGTTCCAATTAGAGAATACCAGGTAGCAAAGGCAATTAGAATTAGGAGAATACTCAATTAAAAGAGCGAGATTATTAAGAATCTGACTTTTGCCTTGTATTGAGTAAAAATAAGTTAGATGTGGTATTTGATGAATCCAATAAATAGGTTGTATATAATAGAAGAGGAGTTTAATGGTATGATAATAAATTACTCATTATATACTTTAGTATGTCATTTTTTGTTTTGCTTCTCTTATTTTGGGTTATTAGCAAAATAAATCTTGAGGCCTGTCTTGTCATTTTTATCAAAACGGTATCCCTAAGATATTTTAATGCTTTATGATAACTTAAAGTGTCTGCATCACTATAGTAGCTTGAAAGGCATCATCGAAATCTACGAAGCAGAGCAAATATTCTCTTCCCTTTTGTGTTTACTTTTTAATTAGACGGACTCTTTGGAACCCTGGATAAGGACGAAAGATATCTAAATTATATTTAGGTTTGATACGTGCCACTTCTCGTTCTTGTGCATCATTTGGAATTCCTATTGTATTTATTATTGAAGATCTTACCGTCAACGTAAAGCGAGTGGGTAGAGTCTTTTTAAGGTTGAAACTGCTAATTGTCACGAATCAATTCAAAATACTGATTATTGAACATGGGATTGGCGTATTGGTTATTGAACATTAAATATATAAAAATTAATAATATATTAAATGGATAAGTCATAACCTATCAAGAGATCATCGAAACAAAGAGACATTGATAATTAAGAGAAACCGTAAGTAAGGCAATCCTTTTGACATAGTCTAAAATAATGCAGGATACACAATAGAGCAGTTAATAATATATAATAACAGATGCCACTTTCGAGTTGATCATAAGAGAGAGAGACGCCTTAATAGAGAGGCTGGAGTCAGATCAAAGATAATTAAAATCTCAACTGGACCAAAAGAAAATAGAATTATATGAACTCTCATAAAGATTCGCATCCCAAAGGGGGAACCATCTCATCAAACTCCAATAGTCAGGCATCCAACTAAAGTAAATTCAGCCGGATGCAGATGCTTATAAATGACTTACTTAATTAATTATAATTTTTATATTAAAAGTTTCACACCAAACATCACATCAAAAATCAGCAGTAGTAGAGATATTTTTTAATACTAAATTCTATATTACACTTTTCAATTCTACCCCCAATATTCCGAAGATTAATAACCCAATATAAATACAACTTATTATTAAATATATTATAACCAATGCCAAGAATATTGCTATTGCTATCCTGCATCTTATTTTTGAGTTAATCGAGTTTCGTAGATGATATTGAATATCTGACAGAAATCAACAATAATGTTGTTATCGGAATATTTACTCAACCCTCAGATCCAGACTATGTTGATTACCCCTCTAGTTAATATTCTTATTTGGCTGCATCCTATGTTAAATTTGTCGAAATGGCTGGAGCAAGAGTTGTACCCATTCCCTATGAAGCTGACAACACCATTTTAGAGAAATACTTTTTAGGCATTAATGGTATCATCATCCCAGGAGGGGCATCTGACCTTGATACTCCAACTGGTCCATCCAAATTTGCTAAGGCTGTTGCTTATATGGTAAATAGAGCACTCCAAGTGAATGAAGCTGGTGAAGTATTTCCTGTCTTTGGAATTTGCATGGGATTCCAAACTCTGCACTACATTATCTCTGGGTACAAAACTCCCTTCCTTTATAGAGTTTATGGTGAGAACGGTATCAGTCATTCATTAGAAAATGGAGATAGAAATTTTGCATTATATAAAGATTTCGATGACGACACATATTAGGCAATATAGACCAACCAATATTTATATTACAGTCATAATTGGGGAGTGAGTCCAGACTTGTATAAAAAGTATCCCTCATTGGATGCATTCTTCAAAATCACTGGAACCAATTAGGATAATAAGGGTTAAACTTTTGTGGCATCCATGCAAGGAAAACAACATCCTGTGTTTGGTGTATAATATCATCCAGAGAAGAATATCTTCGAATGGAAAGTTTCAGCTCCTCATAGTTATTTGGCTGTTAAGGTATCAGCCAATCACATTGATGCCTTTGTAAATTATGCCAGGATGAACAGTCATCAATTTAATGCTGAATAATTGAATAAGGCTGTCATCTACAATTTCAAGACTGTGCAAGAGAAGAATGCTTCATTCGTCTAAGTATACTTTTTTAAAAATGGGGAGTTGAGTTTATGATAATATATGAAAAAGGAATATTATGAAAATTTTTAATTATAACAGTTAATTTAAATATTAATGAAGCAGAACAACGAGAACAATTATGTGAGAGTGTCATATAATAACTTTATGACTACTCGCAATCGATAGTTTGGAAATGAACTCACGAACTTTTAACGACTCCCCACTCGTTCTGCTTCTCAATTCATATGTTCAAAGCCCATTCTTAAAATGGAAGAGGAAATCATCCCTCCAGAATTTGTGAACCCATATGTAGGTGATATATTTGAATACCTATGTGTCAATCAACATAAGTTCATGTGCTAGACTCCATTTTATATGAATTTATAATTGGATATCACAAATCAAATGCGTTCAATTTTAATAGATTGGCTAGTGGATGTACATCTCAAATTTAAGTTGCAACCTGAAACCCTTTACCTAACAATCAACCTTATAGATCGCTATTTGTCAAAAAACACAATCATGCGAAATAAACTACAATTGGTTGGGATTGCATCTTTATTCATAGCCTCTAAATTTGAAGAGATCTATGCACCTGAATTGAAGGATTTCGTGCATGTCTGTGATAATGCCTACACCAAAGAAGAGATCTTAGGTATTTCTGCAGCCATATCAATTAATTAGAAATGGAAAGCAAAATCCTCTTGACTGTCCAATTCAACTTAACCTACACCTCCCCACTTAAGTTCCTAGAACGATAGATCCAAGGAGCCAACCTTTGCGATAAAATCAACTATGCCTCTCGCATGATTCTAGAGTTGTCCCTACTAGACATCAAATGTTTAAAGTAACCATTACAACAACAGTTCCTTTAGGTTTTCTTCCTCATTGCTAGCCACCACCTCCATACTTCTAGCCATCAATATGCTTAGATCTCCCCAAGTTCTTCCCTCATCCTTGCATTATATTGAAGACTAAGAGGAATTAAGATAATGCTTATCAGAATTCCTACCTGTGATTTCGCTTTTAAAAAGTTTCAACATGACCGCAATCAGGAGAAAGTATCAACTGGAAAAGTTCAATAAAATCGCAGACGTGATCCTATCTATCCTACCTAATTAATAATGAATCCAAAATATATAATTAAAATAATAATCAATTAAAATTTATCTATCTTAATCCATTTAGGAGAAAAATTTAGTAATATTAAGTCAGAAAATCAGAGTTAACAAAATTGATGTGTTTTAACTCATCTTCTTTAAGACTCACTCAACCTAATAATTATTAATCTAAGTCTTCAAATTTCATAGAACCTGTAATTGTTTAGTCCCTTTATTGAAATAAAGCCAAAGATTAGTCTCAATTGGTTAATAAATTTAGGATTTGAAATCAATCTGATTGCACATGTTACTTTATGATATCTTGGTTGTGATGTTCTACACAATTATTAACTTCCAAATTGTGCTTGTGTTATCGAAGTTTACTCATCTTGCTTCTCGATCTCGCATTCTGTTTTCAATTTGTGAACGTTTCTAATCTAAAATATGGATATAAATCGATATTTTGTATGTAAAAATAATTATAAATAAAATATTAATTATTATATCAATGTAATAAACCAAGAAGTTTACTATTCGTAGGTCTACAGTGATGTAAAAGCAAAAGATAGAAACAAGTAAAATATATATTTCATTGCAGTTCCACAAAAACCTGTGTGTAAGATTCCCCAACAGTCCCCAGTCTAGCAAACTTAATTAGAAAATACTTCAAATTTACTTACGTATTGAGATAAATTAATCTATATTTAGTAAGGATGAATAAAAAAAACTCTTGAATGAAAATGAACAACTGAGATAACAATTGAAGGATAAGTGTTAAGAATATGATAAAAAAATTTCAAATATGAGTGAAGTATTATAATTCTTATTCTTCTCCTAGCTTAATAAATAACTAGAAAGAGAACTGAAGAAAAGAGAAGAAGAAATTGATTATTTTATTTCGAAGATTGATAATAAGGATAAGGAAATAAAACACCAAAAAGACCTTATTCTTAAATTGAAAGGCAAGAAGAAAGATTACAAAAAGAAATGTTAGGAAATATAATCATAGCATCAACAACATTAACATGATCCATTTCAATAATTATTGGAAATGAGAGCACTTCTTCTTTAGCTAAGAATGACAGCCCAAGTGCTGCCACTTTTATAACAATAATAGAGACTACGACAGTATTAAACTCAAGCCATTGATGTAGACAATATGAGTTATGAATAACTGCTATAATTGGAAGATTAGATGGGGTATTCTTAAATTTATTATTATTAGAAATGTGTCAAATGGCATTGCAAGGGAAGATATCAGAAGAATTCGTAAAAGAGTTATTCAACAAAGTGACAATATCTAAGGAGTCTGCCCGGTTTGTCAATGCAATATGGAAATAGGTGAGAGATATCGAAAACTGGGGTGCAATCATTATTACCACTCTAAATGCATCAAAAGTTGGTTATTGCAGCATAATAACTGCCCTGTTTGCAAACAGACTGTCGTAATTGCTATTTGATTATTTAAAAATGGCTGATTTATTATTCTATTATTTATTTTGCTCAATCCAGCATATTTTTCCTTTTCTTCATCTACCTTATGCTTTAGAAACTCATTATCCTTCTATATATTACTATTATGTGTAATTAAAGGTTTATCATGAATTCATGTATTTTACTTTGCATTAGGATTCAAGAAGAATAATTTGAAGGGATTCAAAATTCTCTTTACTGGAAAGGAATAATTCCTTTTGAATAAAAAACTATTAGATTTGAGAATTAATTCACAAAACTCACTTTTATAAAATATTTGTGTTTCTGTTGAACTAATTTCAAATGTAGGCGAACTTGTTACTATTTTCTTTACTTTAGATTGGCATAAGTCAAATTTATAGAGTTTTATATACAATTCTCAAATAGATGAAATCAATAATTATTGTACTTTTACAACATAATCTATTCTACCTTCATAGTTTTTTAAAGAAGAAATGTTATCACTTGATTATTTGAAGCTGAAGAGCTTTAAGTAGGAAGGAAGTAAATTTAGATTGCAAGGAGATGAATTGATTATTGGTATAAATATCAATCGCTAACACCATAGTTTAATCGAAAAATTATTTCTAAAATCAAAATTAACTATAAGGTCTGGTTAGTCTAAATCCTTTTAGTATTTATTATTGAAAGAAATCTAATCTTGAAATAATAGTTTTCATTCTTAATGTATGTAAAAGTGATTTTATGGAATGGAAATTAAATTTATTTTTCATATACATTTTTCTAATTTTTTCATGCAATATTCATAGGTTTTAAATTACATTAATAGCGAGTTAAATAATAGATGCTTAGCTGTCTTAACATGTCATTTAAAAGTGAAATCCCTAAATCGTATTGATAATTTAATTTTCTTAAAATCCAATTACACTTAGTTGTTTATGAATGAAATACATTTGGACAATTAAGTTTTCTTAATAATAGAGAGATTCTTATCACTGAATTATTTACTTTTTGATATCATTTATATGTTTCTAAAAAATTACTTAGATTTAACAATTTGGTTAATTAATTCATTCAATTATTAAATGAAATAAATGAATTCAAACTAAAAATTATTGTTGTAATACATACTACTTAAGAATTCTTAAATGAGTATTTTGTGACAAGATCTTGCGAGATAATCCAATAATAGGTTAATTATTGAAAATATAAAACTATATTAAAATTGAAATCTATTGATTATGTAGATAAATCTATTAATTTAAATTAAAGGCAAATGATTGGACATATATTAATTAATCAAATTGTTAATTCTAATAATAAAGCAATAAAATTAAATGTGATGATTGTTGAAGATGAACATGCGTCGCAATTATCACTAGCAAAATCTTAAGCATCGCATTATTGCTTACAGACAGGACATGTTTCTGATCCTTCAGCCTTGATGCATTTTATTTTCTAAGTTTCACCACTACTGGATCATAGGTAGTTTAAACCAAAAGTCTTCTTGCTCCTGTTTAGGTGTTGGATAAAGTGGAGGTAACTTTGATAGTGACTGATCTCCAAGCAATTTCAGCATTTAATTAGATAATTACTTGCCCTTTGACTGAATTATTAACTGAAACTATTGTTGCTTTCTTATTCAATCCATTTCCAGTATACCATACTTCAGTTCCAGTCAAATAATAGTTCATATTTGCAGTAGTAACAACTTATTGGAGAACAAATTGGTCGTTCAAGTGCAAATCTGGTTGCGACTTATGGTTGATTTTTATATTCTTAGATGGGAAAAGCTACAAAGGATACTATTTAGATGATAAAAAACATGGGCAAGGAGTGTTTTCATGGAATAACGGTAAAAGATATGAAGGAGAATGGGCTTTAGGAAAGTAAAATGGGAAAGGAGTAATTATAACTGAAACTGGAGAGAGGAAAGCTGGAATTTGGGAAAATGGGAGAAGAGTTAAAATAGAAGGAGAAAATGATTAAACAGCTGAAGGAGAAACCTGAATATATTAATTTTAAATTCTCATATTTGATTACTCTTTTGCATAATCTCCCGATCATCAGTAAATGATTTGAAGATTTTCTGAACGATTTATAATCTATACTATATTAATGTAAATTTCA